ATATATATATATATATATATATATATATATATATATATCAAAATAAAGCAAAAACAGAGTCAGAGCAACAATGCTATCCAAATGCAGTTTGATGAACACCTTGTCAAAGGAAAAGAGGGTGGTTCTCCAGTCTTCTTATGGTAGGTAAATCTCTGTGTAGAAATGAATGCCTCAGCTCAGGATAGCCTGGTAGGGTTAAATATTCAAAATATTTAAGCTAACTAAAGTAGCATGTAGAATAGATTAAAGTTCCTTAGAGTGTGGCCTCTAAGAATAAATATACTTTAATATGCTCCTGTTCTGCCTTGGATAAAGATTGACTGACTGATATGAATCATTGTATGTATGTAAATCAGGAGACGTGAGTATATGGAATGATCAAAACTAACAAGTCTCATTTTATGTCCAAGTTGCTAGAAGATGTCAAAGTGACATCTGTAGCCACTGGCTAGTGATATTCTGGAACATTGGACTATGTCTAAGAGGCTATACGGCCATACGATTCTATGATGCACTGGTTCTATAGAAGAACATAAGAAAAGCCAGATTGATCCAGGCTGCTGTGGTGGTGCACTCCTTTAATCCCAGTACTCAGGAGGCAGAGCCAGGTGGATTTCTGTGAGTTCAAGGCCAGCATGGTCTACAAAAGTGAGTTCCAGGACAGGACAGTTGCACAAAGAAACCTTGTCTCAACAACAACAAAAAAAGAAAGGAAGAAAGAAGGAACAGAAGACACACACAGAGAGAGAGAGAGAGAGAGAGAGAGAGAGAGAGAGAGAGAGAGAGAGAGAGAGGAAAAAAAGAAAAGCCAAATTGACTGTTTTTATATACATTCAAGTGTTTTAGTCTGTCTTTCACAGAGGAACCAACTCTCATGGTGTGCCTCCCCTAGCAATCTGGGAAGTACATGGCCCAGAATGGACACTGTCTGTTCAATTCTTAGGAAACAGAAGATACATTACAAACAGCAAACACAGTATCACTGTAGCTGTCATTTATTTACAGTTACATGCCTAGACCAGTGCGTGGCTGGCAAAGAAAAATGAGTATTGTTTCATGTTCTTCTCAATACAAGGATTCACAACTGGAAAGCAGTTGACATTCCACCCTTTTCATATGGGCTCAAAGAAGTAAATGGAGAGGTTCTGATACCACATGTGGCTTCGCTCTCTGGAAATGCATGTGTTGGGATGGAGATTAACATGGTTTTCCTTTCTTTCAACTTACATTCTTTGTCTAGCTCCTGTCAGCATCTTTGTATATATTCTTATAAAAGTAAGATTCCTGTAGGGCGGTGGTGGTGCATGCCTTTAATCCCAGCACTTGGGAGGCAGAGGCAGGTGGATCTCTGTGAGTTCGAGGCCAGCCATGTCTCCAGAGCGAGTGCTAGGATAGGCTCCAAAGCTACACAGAGAAACCCTGTCTGGAAAAAAAAAAAAAAGATTTCGTTTACCAGATTTCCTCCAAAAGTTGTGTTTTCCTAAATTACAATTTTGGCCATATTCATAACAGACAAAAACGGTATTTATTTATTCTTTTGTTGTACATTAAAAATGAACTTGTAATCATATAGTAGAGTAACCTTTGAGAAAATACAAAATCCAGAATAGAGATAAGCAAGTGTCAAGGTGGCAGCACCAAATCTTAGAAGCTTTAGCTTCATTCATTCCTCACAACCTCGGAATAAATTTAGGACAGGAAAGGCAACAACAGCACTTTCACCAAGCTGGCTTATATTAAATCTTCCATTCATCAACTGGCAAGCTGCATGGCCTTAGGCAAATTTATTCACCTCAACGGTCCTCAATTTTCCCATCCTCATGTAGCCATGGAAAACAATGGTTGAAATACCCTAGCATTGTTTGTTATAAGACTGAAATAAAGAAAATATGTAAGGCACTTAGCAGCTAAGTGCTAAGTCTTAGCCAATCATAAATATTCATGTTGCATTACTTGGCTCCTAAGACATAATCTTTGAAAACAATTTTCTGTAATTATGACATGCTTCATAAACTAGGCTCCATTTTCAACAGAAGACAATTTATAATCCCTGTGGCCCAAACAGCATCACAAGGCAGGTGAGTTCTCTGCTCATGGTGCTTCTCTTACTGCCACTTCAGTTGATATATGCATACAGTAGTTTCTATGCGTGTATAGTGTAAATGGCAGTTTAAGTGTATTTAAAAAGGTTATGTTAGGTTCTAAATTGAAACAAAAGCTGCAGTGCCTGCTTAAAGCACACAAAAAGGAGTATTGGGGCACTTAATATTTGAGTTACTACTTTTTATAACAATGCAAAAGAAGGGGGCATCTCATGTAAGTCACAATACTCTGGAGGCCTCCTCCTTGAGGTTACATAAGCAGTAGAGGCTTGCTGAGGAGAGTGTACTCTTGGGTGGAGCTACCTGAAAGTTATGTGGGGACATCAGTGACACAGATTCTACAGTTGTCACCCATGCTGGCATGTGCTTTTCAAACACTTTCAGCTGCTTAAGTGACTCTGCTCCTGTAAGTCACCCCAATAAACTCATTGACTCGCCAACCTGGGTTTGTGTGGAACTGTTTCTTTGGTCAGAGCCAGAGTTTCCTAGAACAGAGAGCATATGTTGACCATCTCCAGACTGAAGAGGGAACAGAAGGAACATTTCAAAGAAAGTAAAAGAACTAAATAGAACATTAGTAAGCTGCTACCCTTTCACTCTGGGAACAGAGCCTTACAGTGGAAGAAGGGAATGACCCAGGGTGAATTCACATCAAAAAGTAGAAAATTCATGAGACGTTTTTATGTGAATGAAGCCCAGAAAAAAATGACAAGCACCTTAAAGAAATACCATAGGCTCCCAAGGACTGGCAGGAGTACATATAGCATAAGGGTTTGTTGTATCTAAAGTCAGGTGTGAGCAGGCTGAAAGAACCTTGGAATTTTCCATATCAGCATAGCATGTATGAAGTGAATGAATATTCCTGGACACATATATGTTCAGTCTGAAGCTGGCTCTAGTTTTTAGTTCTTGCTATATCTGCTTCTCATCCTAGTAACATTCAATGCTGCTTTTATCATATGGAATATTGTGCTAGGAAAGTAACACTGTCCTGTCAAAGTGATCTCCCTGAATAAGAGCCAATACAACTCATTTCATGGCTGCTTCTCTCATAGCTCATTTCTAGCCCATAGGAGAAGTGTGCTGTTCCACTACAGGGTGGAAATCCAGTCTTCTTTATAAAATTCCACTAAGTATAAAATGATGAGTCTCATTATGACATTTTAAAGCATGTATCATACCCTTAGCTAGTATTCACTTCCCCAAAGGGGACTGATGTCACTTGACCCTAGGAAGCAAGACAAAAAAACAAAACAAAACAAATAAACAAAAAAAACCCTGCAGTATAAAAAGAAAATCTACTCAGTACCTATAAATGATACTACTTTAGGAGTGATAAAAGTTTTAGCAGCTTCATTGATATTTAATTGCCACACAATAAGTAACATTGCTCAAAGTATAAAATAAGATCTTTTATCACATACATTTACATTGTTTGTGTCTATAAATTATATAAATCACAGTTAAGGTAATGAACACATTTTTTAATCCCTGAATTTTTTCTTCTGTAATATTCTGTAGTTTTTGTACTTTCTAGAATTAAATGGAGATCACACTCTTGATTATCTGGCTTCTCTAGTGGAGTATAGTCACCGTGAGACTACTCCATGTTGTTTTAACTATTATGAATATCTCGAATTGTTTTGTTCTCATGTTGATGGACATTTGTATTAGTTCTAGTTTACAGCTCTTACTAACAAAACTGCTATGAACATCCATGAGTCAGTTCACATGTATACATGATTTCATTTAACTTGGGCAGATCCTTTTAGTGTGGGGACTGGATCAGACAGCAGATCTACATGTAACTTTCAAAGGTATCTCCATTGGTCACATTTCTTGTTGATATGATAAAATAAAGAGGCGATTTCATACAGGAGATAGCTGTTTTGGCTTACAACTTCAGGAGATACGGTTCCTTATAGTGGTGACGAGGTGATGGTGTGAGCAGCACAAGGCCTAACAGTAGTGTAAGACAAGGTTTGCTCACGTGTGGAAAGTAAGGGAATGAGCAGGACCAGAATCAGGGCTGAGTGGAATCCCTCAAAGGCCCACCATCAGTGATCCACCTCCACCAGTCAGCCATGCCTCCTGCCCTACAGATCCCACAACCCCACAAAACATCACCACCAAGCCGAGGACTGAGAATTCAAACACATGAGAGGGACATTTCTCCAATCACACACCCAGCTATTTTTTATGTGATTTTGGAGTTCTATTTCTGCCAGCTACGTGTGACACCCTTGTAGACACAGTAAAATTTGGAAACTATTTGTAAATGTGCAGTCGTATCTCATTATGGTTTTAATTTGCATTTTACTGATGACTAATATTCCCAAGAATTTTTCATATGCCAGTTGCTAATGGTTAAGTGCCTGCTCAAATCTTTTATCCGTTTGAATGGGGATGTTTGTTATTTTATTGATTTAGGCTGTTTTTACATAGTCTTTATTGGAAAAGTAATTTGGAAATAATTTCTCCCAGGCTGCAGCTTTTGTCTCTATTTTCTTAACAAAATATTTTGAACAGAAGATCTTAATTTTCATGCCATCACTATCAATTTTTATCTTATAAATTATGATTTTGTTGTTGTCCTAGTTAACTTTCTGAAGCTTTGATAAGCTGTATGGCCAAAAGCAACTTGGGAAGGAAAGGAATTATTTTATCTCAGAGCTCATAGTCCACAGTGAAGGGAAGTCAGGACAGGAAGTCAAGGCAACAAGGAGGCAGGAATGGAAGCAGAGGCCACAGAGGAATGCTGCTTCCTACTCATTCTCCAGGCTAACACTCAGCTAGCTTTCTTACACTTTCCAGGAGTATTACCAGAGTGGGCTGGTTCATGTTCCCTCTTCCCGAGATGACCCTAGTTTGTGTCAAGTGACAATAGACTGAGCAGCATAGATTGAACAGCTAATGAATTTTGTACAATTCAAATCGCATAACTTTTCGAATGTCTTCTTCTGAAGATAGTCATTTTGGGATTGAACCTTAAACCTGTGATCCAGCTCAAGTTAATTTTTATATGAAACATAGAGTTTATTATATAACTATATATACAGGTTACTCATTTTATTATGAACTAATTTTGAATTGTTTTAGTTTCACTTGGAAAAATATTTTTGTTCACTAGATAATCATTGAGTCTTTGGTTAAAATTAATTAATCATGATTGTGCTGATCTATTTCTGTACTGTCTAGTTCTCTGTAATGACCCCTCTCTCCACCATAGTACCAGTTCTATTTATATAGTGTACCAACCTGAGGTTTTCTAATAGGTCTTAAAGTCATGTAATGTACATTAGCCAAACTTATCCTTTTTTTTCCTTTTCTTCTTCTTTTTTTTTTTTTTTTTTTTTGGTTTTTTACAAAGGGGTTTTTTTTTATACTTTTGGGG